ATCTATGTCTGTTATTTGTCACGAACAAATCGTTTCATGCAAGGAATTACTCACCTTTGCCACTCACTGAGGAGACTCAGACACACTGATCCACTTTGTGAATCGATGTTGGGATGAAATATGGGAGAACTGAAGGTCACATCAGGACAGTTTCGTGGATAAGAGGAAGTACACTTGATCTGAAAGAGGTATGGTGAATCTCTTCAGCTCAAAGCTAGCAGTTAGGATTGATCTAAGCTAGTAATCAGAATGCAGATCACATTTCCCACAAAAGTTATTGACCTACTGACCTCTAGTGAGCAACATCCTCACCAGACTACTTGACCTCAGTGGTAAACTGTAGGAGTGTACTATTTACGGCCACTTGAACAGCACACAGTGCACCAAAACATGCTGAGATGAGCTCGTTCAAAGTGCGTATTTTGTGACCCAGGCCTATCTTTACAAGAACAACTCAAAAGGTGGGCATTTGTTCGTGTTTTTTACTTTATGCGACGCTTATCGTCTCCTACAATCAGTGTAGATGAATTGCACAATTATTTCCTTGAGTAAATCGAAAATAAACTCGCAAATGGTCAGTCGACCTGTCCTAATGTTTTTAGACAAGTTCTCATAAGAAGTGCACATTCTAAGGATAACTGCGGGCGATTAGCATCAACGAGACGCGTTAATCTCACAGCAGTATTGTGCAACTGGGCCTAAGTATGTCAAACTATATGCCAAGAAGTCGAAAGCTACTGGCTCCTGCTTTCAATAAGAATTAGCTGTTTCGGAACCCAACCTGCATGCATTATTTTGGCTTGTTTTAGACCTTGCTGCTTTTAATATGGTAATTCAATATTTTCAGATGGTTGCTTGGTAAACTTCAAACCGATGGGGTAGTTTACTTGCAGGTACTTCTAAGTGCATCTATTTTGATCCAAAAACGTGGCAATATCATCAGGATTGCATAAGCTGCAAAAAGCACTTACGCTTAAAATGAATTCTGCGTGCGCGTTGCAGCCAGATTTGGGTCGCAGTGATACCCTAACAGACATCTCGCCGGTCCCTAAGATGGTCGCCTGACCATCTGTTGAGGCTCCGATTGTCTCGTAGAGTTGCTGTATGTCCTTAAAAAAGGTACGCCGAGTTGTGGAACAAGACATCTGAAGAAGGAGTAGTAAGCACGGTCACTATAACTATTTGATTGGAGTGGGAACACAATCTTGTAGACACCGCAAAAATGACAGATACAACCTCTCTTCCTCCTCGTCTGTAGCGCTATCATCTTAGGGAAAGGAAAGGGTATACACTTCTTAAACACAATGGGCGTATGTGCATAATAAGAGAAAGCGTTAGAACGTAAATTAGCCAGTAAATAGAATAATAGTCATTTGTAATGCGCAGCAATAGATCAATAAATGCTACTGTTGCACGCGTCTAGGAAGAGAAAGAGAAATATAATGAGTGGTTCTTTATTAACCCCATGCGTATATTTGGAAAGTCTAACCTAAATCTGCCATCAGGGATCTTATGCGTGTTACTGATGGCAAAGTCACAAAAATGGGCCATTCAAAACTCAGTTATCAAGCAACGATTTCTCCAAAATATGAGACATACGGGATTGAACTGATTGTCGCAATGAAACGGCAAAAAGAACTGCCCACAAAATAAAGAATGGGTGCAGGCTTCTGGCACACGAAGCCTTTTACGATGTGACCTCAGGGTCAAATTGAGTTGATCTTCGTTAAGCGCTTGCTTGTTTCTGCAGTTTCACTGTAACTTTCACCACAAATCTATGAAAGGAAATTTATTTGGTAATTTTCTAATATCATGCGCGAGAGCAAAGGGATTTTAACCTATATCTGCTTTTTTAGGATTTTATAAGCATTACTAGCGACAAAGCCAGCAAGTGAATTGTTTAATTTTTAGCACCAAGCATTTGAATTTACAATGCTTGTTCAATGTCTTTAGCAATGAAGAAGAAAAAATTTCGCTATTTATCAAAAGTAACAATACAATTTAGGCTTAACAGGGATCAGTTCAATTCGACCTTGAGGTCACATC